CAGGGCTTGGGTAGGGATGTGGTCTCCTTCTTGTATCGCGTTAAATGCTTCCACCATGGGTGGGTAGAGATCCTCGGCGTAAGTCTTATAGTATTTTACCGGTAAGCCGTCCGGCCCCGGGCTTTTGCCCGGTTTAGTGAGTTTGACTGCTCGCGCTAATTCCTCAATGGTTATGGGTTCGTCAACCAGGTCAGCGACTTCTACGTCTAGGGTCGGTATCGGGTATTTAGTCAGGTATTCCTGAATCGAGCGGTGGAGGTGTGCCTTAGCCAGTTCAGTTGTCGGTTGTGGGAGTTCGTATAGCTCGGTGTAGTATGTACGGATCGCTCTCATGATATCAGTCGGGAGTCGGTGTAGGGACCCCTGTTTGTCTCTGATCTTGTCGATGTATGTGTGCTGTCTCTGTTTCCTCAGCATTGTAGCGAGGAGCTTACCGCTCTTGTTCCCATGTAGGGTAAAGAATGCCTTATTTCTAAGTGCCTCCCTGTGGTGTTTGGAATGCAGTATGGTCGCTAGGTCCCTTCGCAGTTGTAGGAGTCGGGTCTGGTGTGTGTGGTCTGGGTCACGTTTGTTTTGTTCGTCCGTTTTGTATATGTCATCTAATAGGGCGGTCAGTCGGGCTTCGGTTTGTTTTTTTAGTATTGCCCCCTGTTGGATATAGTGACCTCTTATCACACTTTTGTGTGCCTCCCAGCGTATCGTCGGCGATGTCTGCTCCGTCGTGTTGGTGGTAAGGTATTCTCTGATTTTATCGCCTATAAGGGTCGTGACTCCCGGGTGGGAGAGTAGGTATTCATTGAGTCTCCATTTCGGAGATGTGGGGCGAAATAGTGGTGACTTTATTTTGAGGGAGACAGGGGCATGGTCCGACCATGTGGCTGTTCCGATCTCGACGTCAGTTACCAATGAAAGGTCGTAGTGTGAGGTGTATATGTGGTCGATGCGGGAGTATGAGTTGTGCGGGTGGGAATAGAAAGTGAAGTCTCGGGCGTCTGGGTGGTGGGCCCTCCAGCAGTCGACCAGTCGGTGGTCCCGGAGTAGGGATTTGATGCCTTGCAGTTGTTGGTTGGGGATATGCGAGGTGCCCGTTGAGGTGTCCCATGACGGTTCTAATGCGACATTAAAGTCCCCCCCAGTATGAGAGTCCCTTCTTTGAACGCCTGGAGCTTGTGGAGTGTTTGTTTGAGGAAGCGGTAGTGTCGTGTGTTTGGGGCGTATATAGTTGCGAACGTGTACTGACGGCCTGCTATTTCCCCCTTGAGGAATAGGTACCTGCCTTCATCGTCCGACAAGCAGCCCCCCTCCTGGAACGGCACCCTCTTATGGAAAAGTATTGCTGCTCCCCTAGCTTTCCCCCCGTGGTAGTCACTATAGAATCCTTGTGTGTAGTGTTGGTTTGTTAGTTTGGGTCTGGCCCCTTTCTGAAAGTGTGTTTCCTGTAACATGACTATCGAGGCCCTTTGTTTATGAAAGTCTCTCAGTGCTCCTGATCTCTTCTCTGGTTTGTTCAGTCCTTTGGCATTGATCGTGAGAATATGCAGCGGGGCGGGAGTCAGTGTCATGTCTTTTGGTCAGTCGGCTGTTGGGTGGTGCTGTATCGGTGTCGTTGTCCAAGTCCCTACTGTGTGTGTGTACCAGGTGTGGTCCGTTCGTCGCGGTCAGAGTGAGGACAAGGTGTCAAGGTTTAAGGTGGGGTAGAGAGAGGGATAAGGTATCTTGGGATTCGTGGAGATGTCCTGTGATCTCTAGTGGGTGTGTTCCGGTCTCAGGACCGTCAGGTGCAGACGTCGGGGAGTTTCAATCCACGGTGCCACCAGTGGCTCCCGTGAGTGACTCACCGTCTGAGTGACGTCTCTCCTACTGGGCAGTGGTAGGGTGTATCGGTGTCGGTCTTCCGTACGGCCAGTCGGGTCCCATGTCGCCCCTTTTTGGCTCCCGGATGCTACCTCAATGGGATGTGATGGTCTTCCCCGCCTCGGGGTGTGTTGGCTCGAGAGCCGGCGTGTGTGTTGCACAGCATGTCTGTTCAAGATATCGTAGTAAGGCATAAACCGTAACAATAACATATAGATTCAATTCACAACAGGTGATAACAAGTAGTTGACATTTCTACCATGGTGCAGGGCTGCGCTTCCACCCCCTCCCCTCCCCTCCCCCCTCTCCCTCCGTTGGGTTGCTTATCTAGCGTGAGCAAACTCGTCCCTTGTTCCTTTACTCTCTGGGTTTGGGGGCGCCCTCATGCGGGGTCAGGGCGAGGGCACTCGTGTCTCTGGATTCGTTTTAATCAATCTGGGTGTGCTCGCTCGGGTGGTCGCTTACGTGTCCGTGCCCTCCTTGTCACATGTTTAGAGCGTGTAGCTGATCTATGGGCTAGGCTGGATTGTGTGGTCTGGTTGCGACCTTACCCTCCATCCCCACCGTGTCTTATCAGCATCCCCGCCCCGGGTGTGCCCCGCCGGCGCCGTCCCCCGCCTGCTCCCCGAGGTTCATCACAGGGTAGGCGAACGGCGGCGGCCGGGCCCAGCCGGGGGGTGGCGCCCCCGGTGCTTCCCTGCCGGTGTGGCTGGACGTGTCTCTTGTGGGAGGTGTCCCTGCTGTTGTGTGGCCCAGTGGCGGCCGCTCCCGCTCCTCTCCCCTGCAACCCTTGTGTCCCCACCCCGGATGTGCCCAGCCGGCACCATCCCCCGCCTGCTCCCCGAGGTTCATCGCAGGGCGGGCGGGCGGCGGCGGCCGGACCCAGCCGGGGGGGCGGACACTCTATATTCTCCTAACCCTATAAATATGGACCAGATGTCCCTCGTTACCCTTGCATCTTGCATTATCATAAAAAGGTTAAATTAGTCCATTAGGCCACAGGGCTCCGCGTGGCCGGGCTCCTGTGTCCCAGGTACGCCCCCTGGTACTTCTCTGCTTATGTGGCTGGGTGTGTCTCCCGTGGGAGATATACTTGCGGTTCGGATGAGTTAGCGCATTGTGTCCACAGTCTCTGGATCTGGAAATCGGTTATGGAGGTGTGTGTCTGGTCCACGGATGGGTCGAGGTGAGGCCCAGGATGGAAGGTAGGCGGTGCGCAGTCCTTTATATGTTGGCGCCCGTGGGGCGCGTGGTCTGCTGTCTAGTTCTTCGTGGCCTGGTGGGCTGTTGCGACTGGCGGTGTGCTTCGGGTGAAAACTCGTAGAAGGACATCGGGTCCGGCCAGGTCAGCTGTATGTGCGGTAGTTGTAGTTCCCGGGCAATGTCCCTCATATCGCCGTCGTTCTTCACTGCGAAGGAGCCGGTGCTTGTGGTGACCTGTATGCCAGTGGGGAAGTTCCACCGATATCTGATCTTGTTGGCTTGTAGTGTGCGTGTAAAAGGGCGCAATGCCCGTCGGTACGCCAGGGTCGCTGGAGATAGGTCCGGGTATAGTTGTAGTTCTGCGCCATGATGAAGGATTTGTTGTTTCTCCCTGGCGCTCTTTAGGATGTCTTCCTTCACTTGAAAGTGTAGTAAACAGCATATCACGTCCCTTGGGGGGGACTCCGGAGGGCCTCTGGGTCTGAGGGCTCTGTGTGCCCTAACGAAATCAATAGGCGTCGTGTTCGGCCGCTGTAGGAGGGAGTTGAAGATTTCCGTGAGAGAATCTCGTATTGGGGTTGTCTGGTCAAGTTCCTCAGGCAGGCCCCGAATTCTAATATTCTGCCGCCTCCCCCTATTATCGAGGTCTTCCACGTGGAGGGCCATTTGGCGCAGTTGTAGCGTCTGCCGCTGTATTACGTTTGCGGTGGCGTTTTGTGCAGATGTCACATGGTCACAGTCTGCCTCCAACAATGTTAGCTTATGGTGTAGCCCCTGCATGTCCTCCCTCAAGGCATGGAGTTCCCCTGTTATGGACTTGTGGAGGGCAGCATTTGCCTCTTTAAGGTCGCTTTCGTGGGTAGGTTGCTCAATAGGGATGCCCAGTCCAGCTGGGATGGGGGTAGGTCAGGTGTAAGTAGTACCTGTTCACGATGTCTGCTGCCTGGTGAGGGCGGGCGGGCCAGGCCCGAGGCCTCCGAGTCACTGGAGGCCTGAGAGACGTGATCCGCCTGGGTCAGGAGGTATTGTCTCATGCCCGGCGTCTGGGACCCCCTGGGAGTGTTGGCGGCTGCTGCCGCTTGCTGTTGCCGGTTTGTTTTGCCCATTTTGCTGTGTGTGGGGCTAGTGAGGCGGGTGATCGTGCAGAGCCTGCAGGGAGCTTCGGGTTCACGCCGCCATTCCGATCGGCGTCCAAGCCACGCCCACACACTAGGTTTTTATACATATTTGCACTGCTTGGCCTCGCTCCCTTAACAAAGACCAGACTAATACCGATTTAGAAAAACTCAATTAGGAAACCTCCCAATTTACATAAATTAATCTTCATTTGTTACCAAGCCATCGTAGACTCATCTTACGGTCATTCATCTACTTATAAAGTTGATTAGGAATGGGAATTGTTCAAATAATTTTCAGCTGAAGATTAGAATTAGAATATCTTGTCTGATATTTCTTGTTGCATCAGTTATGTAGAACTCTTTT